TATAAATTTGTATTACGGTACATAGCCAGGTCGCTATAAGTCTGTATTGCGGTATAAAAAAAGCAAGTCGCTGTAAGTCTGTATTGCGGTTAAAATAATCAAGTCGCTATAGGACTGTTTTGCGGTACCTGATCAAGGCGCTGAAAACCTGTATTGCGGTACAAAACCAAATCGCTATAAGTCTGTACTGCGGTACGTATATACATACATGTAACCAGGTTGCTATAAGTCTGTATTGCGGTACAAAACCAAGTCGCTATAATTTGGATTACGGTACATAACCAGGTCGCTATAAGTTTGTATTATGGTACATAACCAGGTTGCTATAAGTCTGCAATATGGTAAAAAAAGCAATCAAGGCGCTATAAGTCTGTATTATGCTACATAACCAGGTCAGTATAAGTCTGTACTACGGTACATAACCATGTCGCGATAAGTCTGTATTACGGTACATAAACAGGTGGCTATAAGTCTGTATTACGGCTAAAAAACAATCAATGCGCTATAAGTCTGTATTACTGAATATAAGCAGGTTGCAATAAGTCTGAAGTACGGTACATACCAAATCGCTATAAGTCTGTACTGCGGCACGTATATACATACATGTAACCAGGTTGCTGTAAGTCTGTATTGCGGTACAAAACCAAATCGCTATAAGTCTGTACTGCGGTAAGTATATACATACATGTAACCAGGTTGCTATAAGTCTGAATTACGGTACATAGCCAGGTCGCTATAAGTAGTCTGTATTACGGTAAATAATCAAGTCGCTTTAAGTCTGTATTACGGTAAATAATCAAGTCGCTTTAAGTCTGTATTACGGTAAATAATCAAGTCGCTTTAAGTCTGTATTACGGTAAATAATCAAGTCGCTATAGGACTGTTTTGCGGTACCTGATCAAGGCGCTGTAAACCTGTATTGCGGTACAAAACCAAATCGCTATAAGTCTGTACTGCGGTACGTATATACATAACCAGGTTGCTATAAGTCTGCAATATGGTAAAAAAAAACAATCAAGGCGCTATAAGTCTGTATTTTGTATTATGGTACATAACCAGGTTTCTATAAGTCTATATTATGGTACATAACCAGGTAACTACAAGTCTGTATTACGGTTCATAACTGATCAAGGCGCTGAAAACCTGTATTGCCGGTACATCGCCAGGTCGCTATAAGTCTGAATTACGGTACATAGCCAGGTCGCTATAAGTTTGTATTATGGTACATAACCAGGTTTCTATAAGTCTATATTATGGTACATAACCAGGTTTCTATAAGTCTATATTATGGTACATAACCAGGTAACTACAAGTCTGTATTACGGTTCATAACCAGGTTGCTATCAGTCTGTATTGCGGTACAAAACCAAATCGCTATAAGTCTGTACTGCGGTACGTATATACATACATGTAACCAGGTTGCTATAAGTCCGTATTACGGTACATAATAAGGTCGCTATAAATTTGTATTACGGTACATAGCCAGGTCGCTATAAGTAGTCTGTATTACGGTAAATAATCAAGTCGCTTTAAGTCTGTATTACGGTAAATAATCAAGACGCTATAAGTCTGTATTACTGTACATAACCAGGTTGATATAAGTCTGTATTACGGTCATAACCAGGTCGCTACATTGTATAAGTCTGTATTACGGTTCATAACAAGGTCGCTATAAGACTGTATTACGCTACATACCAGTTCGCTATACATTTGTATTACGGTACATAGCCAGGTCGCTATAAGTAGTCTGTATTACGGTAAATAATCAAGTCCCTATAAGTCTGTATTACGGTAAAATAAACAAGGCGCTATAAGTCTGTGTTACGGTACATAACCAGGTGGCTATAAGTCTGTATTACGGTTAAAAAACAATCAATGCGCTATAAGTCTGTATTACGCTACATAGCCATGTCGCTATAAGTCTGTATTACGGTACATCGCCAGGTCGCTATAAGTCTGAATTGCGGTACATAACCAGATTGCTATAAGTCTGTATTACGGTACAAAACCAGGTCGCTATAAGTCTGTATTACGTTACATAACCAGGTCGTTATAAGTCTGAACTACGGTACATAACCAGTTCGCTATAAGTCTGTATTACTGTATATAAGCAGGTTGCAATAAGTCTGAAGTACGGTACATCGCCAGGTCGCTTTAAGTCTGAACTACGGTACATAACCAGTTCGCTATAAGTCTTTATTGCGGTACATAAGCAGGTTGCTATAAGTCTGAATTACTGTACATCGCCAGGTCGCTATAGGTCTGTATTACGGTACATAACCAGGTTGCTATACATCTGTATTACGGTCCATAACAAGGTTGCTATAAGTCTGAATTACGGTACATAGCAAGGTCGCTATATGTTTGTATCATGGTACATAACCAGGTTTCTATAAGTCCGTATTACGGTACATAACAAGGTCGCTATAAGTCTGTATTACGCTACATAGCCAGGTCGCTATAAGTCTGAATTACGGTACATAGCCAGGTCGCTATAAGTTTGTATTATGGTACATAACCAGGTAACTACAAGTCTGTATTACGGTTCATAACCAGGTTGCTATCAGTTTGTATTACGGTAAAAAAATAAAACAATCAATGCGCTATAAGTCTGTATTACGCTACATAGCCAGGTCACTATAAGTCTGTATTACGGTTCATAACCAGGTCGCTATAAGCCTGTATTACGGTACATAATCAAGTCGCTACAAGTCTGTATTACGGTACATCGCCAGGTCGCTATAGGTCTGTATTACGCTACATAGTCAGGTCACTATAAGTCTGAATTACTGTACATCGCCAGGTCGCTACATTGAATGGGTCTGTATTACGATAAAACAAACAATCAAGGCGTTATAAGTCTGTATTACGTTACATAACCAGGTCGCTACATTGTATAAGTCTGTATTACGATAAAAAAAACAATCAAGGCGTTATAAGTCTGTATTACGCTACATAGCCAGGTCACTATAAGTCTGTATTACGGTAAATAATCAAGTCGCTATAAGTCTGTATTACGGTAAAATAAACAAGGTGCTATAAGTCTGTATTACGGTACATAATCAAGTCGCTATAAGTTTGTATTACGGTACATAACCAGGTCGCTATAAGTTTGTATTATGGTACATAACCAGGTTTTTATAAGTCTATTTTATGGTTCATAACCAGGTTGCTATAAGTCTGTATTACGGTTCATAACAAGGTCGCTATAAGTCTGTATTACGCTACATACCAGTTCGCTATACATTTGTATTACGGTACATAACCAGGTCGCTATGGGTCTGTATCACGTTTAGAGGTTTGAAAAAATATATATAATATGCACTTATCACTTCAAAGAAGTTTGTAGTGTAGCTATAAATAGTTATTTATTATAACGTGTTCTTCTTATCTCTTGTTAAATTCATTTGTATAATGACGAAAGTATATCTAATCCATTCTCTCCCACAGCAGCTCTAGGTTTCCTCACTCTCGACTCATTGAAAGAAACCGCTAGGAATTTGGAAACATTTTTGGGTAACACACTGAGCGTGATTGCATTGGTCATTTTCTAACTTTGACGCATATCACAATGCTTTGCGACGTCATCTTCCATTATGACGTCAAAGTTCATTTGTTTCACAGATAGGAAATAGGAATAATAAATTATCAAGAGAAGCATGGTTTTCTTGATGTTTTAACTTAACGTTGAGACAGATTTCCAAACTCTTGATGGTAGATTATTATGTTTATTAACTCTCGTTACATGTATTTAATTTTAAAATTTTAAAAGACACTCGGTAAACATTCTGTCTATAAACAATCTGAAAGCTGACTAACTCGAGTTAAGTAACCATGACAACCAACTATCACTCGTTGGAGAACCTTTATAATAATAACAATGGGAAAACAAACAATAATGAAGCAGTTAGTATTTTATTGTTAAAACATATATACGTATGCAATTATAAACAGTAAATCTTCAATATTAATAGATAATAAATAGTTGATAATAAAATAGTAAATATTTGTGTTCAAAATACATTAATATAAAAATAAGCATTTCTGGTATATCACAATAAAACAGCAGGCTCCCGTCTAATTATTTAAGAGTAGTGACTCTCCATAGAATTCTGTTGATCCCCCGTATGACTTGCAAAGCGACGGTTTTCAAAACACACACCTTCTTACCTCTGCAAGCAATTAGCATTAATGTAATCTTATAAGCAATTAAACAAAATTCAATTATAAAAGTTTAGAAATTGGTTAATGGCGATAACATACTTAACAATAAATTAGTTTATCCCATTTCCGTGTAAGATATAGCTGTCCGGGGTAAGAAAGGGATGTAGGAAATTTCTATCTAACACACCGTTTCACGTGACGTGACGTCATAATGGCTGAACAATGACGTCACGTCACAAATTCCATTGCCGCAACGCGGAAAGGGTGACGTGATGAAATTAAAACCTTTTACGGTATATTTACCATACTTATTAGAAAGAGTCTTATAATCTAAGATCCACTCACTCTACTAGTTTCTGAATAAAAAAAGGGGAAATTAGCCGTTACATGAGTAATTTAGTTTGATTTTGCCTGGAGCTGAAATCGAATGTTATTTCTATGCTTTTAGACGATCGAGTGATATGGCATTGACAGGTTCGGCATTGAAAAACTGAAATCCCTCTGAACGTAAGTTATGCAGGCGTATGAAAATAAAGGCGGTTCCAGATGGTATGGGACGGATTCTATCCGAACGAATCATCGAGTTCTCTCAAGTTTATAGAGTAATTCCTGTATAATCTGATACATTTGAAAACAATTTGGGAAAGTTAAAAAAAACTTTTTATATCCAGGCAACATGTAATAGGTCACATACATACATTCATAAAGTATAAAAAAAAACAACGCATAGTTAGCCTTGGATTAAAATCTAAGATCCACTCAGTCTACTAGTTTCTTAATTAAAAAAAACTTTTTATACCCAGGCAACATGTAATAGGTCACATACATACATTCATAAAGTATAAAAAAAAAACCCGCATAGTTAGCCTTGGATTAAAATCTAAACGCTGTAAAAACGAAAGTTGTCCATACTTTCACCGTTGGTAACTGTACATCGTACATGTTACTATGACACCGTAAGAATATCTTGTCATTGGACACTCTTGCAAAATTATATGCAAACGTTTTTGTTATGACATGACTTTGATCGCAGATTATGTCGAATTCGCTTCGCCATTACTATGAGATTATTCAAGTCCAGTATCACAATCCCGATCCCAACCGCCCCGAGGATGATGCTTGCCCCGTAGCCCAACACCTTGGCCGATGTCCGGCCATCCCACGCGGATGTTAATGAACGCTTGTATCTATTTGTTTTCTCGCGTTGAATTAGAAGTTCAGTACGAAGTGCTTCGATAATTCGTTTCATTTCTCCCTCGTTAGGATTCAGGGAACAGTTGCGCTGTAGACAGCTACATGTCTGGATAGATGAGACTGTCGAATTCCGAAGGGGACTTGTTGTTATCTTCTCAAAAGCTCCGACAGTCATTCCGACTGATGATGTTATCATTTCCACTCTTGTTACCTCTTTATATGTTGACGTCAATTCCTGGGATGTTGTTGTTCTGGCAACAGATACTGACGTCCCTGGAGGAGGAGTCACCGTTTCCAGAGTTGATGAGGTGGTTTCTATTGGAAGGTTTACCGTAGACGTCCCCGCGGTGGCATGGCGCTCACATCGTCTTTGTGCTGCATTATCACGTGACTGTAACAAAATATATAGTATATTACGATTAAATTATATAATAATGACAACAATACTTATCCCATACATTAAAAATGTTTATATATCTTCTAGGTAGAACTAATTAACCTACATACTTATTTTACCAAGCATGATGTTTTTATGGAGCAAACCGGACTCAATTTTCCCCATGACTCACCTAGTTGGACAGGTAAAAAGCAATTAATGATAAAAACAAAGCATACAAATACTGCAACCGTCTAACTGAACGGACGATATTAAATAATATTTCAGCTACAGTATGCGGAACATTGCGAGTGAAATAAATTAAAATTAAGATAAAGATCACCTTGAAGATGACACCTGTAGCGAGTTTGGTCATCTACATGTAGTGAGGATGTAAGGAACAGCATTGAGTCTTACATGTAAGTTGAAACCAAGCAATTATAAAGGTAAACATTATGTGGTTCATTTGCTAATGCAGTATTAGCAATGTCAATACTGTACCGATCACCTATAAAAAGAGATTCGAATCCTATAGTTGAACCAAACCTGGATTTTGTCGTACAATTTAAAAGATTTGTAAATCTATTGCAATGCAATTTACATTTTCATTAACAGTTTATCATACAATTATATTGTAATCGGTTAGCATTGTACTGTGTATATAGTGAAAGCGGCTTTGTCCTTGACCACGCACTTGAGCCTAACTGTAATCCTTCATTGTGTATTACAAGACAAATGAAACGGTTCTAGTCGTATCTAAAACTGTGTCATCTGTAAACACATTCTATATAAGTACATAATTATATATCTATCAAGTGATACTTTTGTTTTTACCACAGGCCGTAATTGAAAAGTTATTGTAAAATGATTGTATCATAATCTCATTCCAGATATATATACCTACTTGTTTCTGATATGTTTGTCCTAATTATCTAGGAAAGGTTTGTACCGACGCTGAATTTGGCTTATCCAATAATAAAATACATTTCATATCAAATTGGTGAAACTGAAAATACTGCATCCTGACATAACTTGCAACAATGGTAAACCGTACCTAGTTAAATATAGCCTTTTCTTCCCCTTTATAACTTTTATTTCTCAGAAACAAAAGTTCAAAAGTCGTCGTCCTGTCGTGTGGAATATTCTGTGTTGATAGTTGTAAGCTTATTCTATCACTCTCCCACATCATACAACAACGGCACTGGAAATTACTCCATCACAAACGACTGCCGGGAAATTAAGGTAACAATGTGTTTGGAAGGCGCGGTCATTATTTAGTATGTGTGTGCATATGTGCGTGCGTTAGTGCTTGTGTGTAAAATATATTTTACTTGTATGTGTATATGGGAAAGAGACGAATATCACTATTACAAATATAGGATATGGGTTTTGAAATGCTGAGGGACAAGGGCTAAACAAAACGTATGATTATTTCTTAATGGTTAGTCGATTGACCCTATACATGTGACTGGACTGAGCAGAGTGTATATATCTTAATGGTCAGTCGATTGACCCTAAACATGTGACTGGACTGAGCAGTGTATATATCTTAATGGTCAGTCGATTGACCCTATACATGTGATTGGACTGAGCAGAGTGTATATCTTAATGGGCAGTCGATTGACCCTATACATGTGATTGGACTGAGCAGAGTGTATATATCTTAATGGTTAGTCGATTGACCGTATATATGTGACTGGACTGAGCAGAGTGTATATATCTTAATGGTTAGTCGATTGACCCTATACATGTGGCTGGACTGAGCAGAGTGTATATATCTTAATGGTCAGTCGATTGACCCCGTACATGTAACTGGACTGAGCAGAGTGTATCTTTAAGTTGGGCATTCTACGAGCCCTCACTTAAACTGAATCAATTCAAACCAAAACAAAGTACGTAGCAGTATACGTGCTTTACTTCATTTCATGCTTTGTTTCAGAAAAAAACCGGTGTATTATGGAACAGGGTTCCATATGATTGTATTATACAGTTTGAACTCTATAAACCTGGAGGTAGTCAGAATAAGTGTTGGTTCAATTAAACTTTACTTATAAAGGCATAGTATACAACATCGAAAATGTTATCAGCAGTTCCAGTTCATGATATAATCCTATTCCGTCTTTGCGTATTGCAGAGTTATCTTCTCTTGAGAGCAGGTATTGATTGTAACGTCATTGGTTTGTGTGAGAAAATTACGTCGTTTTCTCAAACATTGATGACGTTACTCTCACAAACAATTGACGTAACAATCAATACCTGCTCTCAAGAGAAGATAACTCTGCAATACGCAAAGACGGAATACTTACATAGTGATACCTGTAGGCAAATCGATATTAAAACTCGATATCATGCGGCAAACAGCGGGTTGTGTAACGACAAGGATCACATATAACAGTATATCATAATTCACATTTCTATAGTATAAACTTATAGACAAACCGCCAAGGTGTATTTCTGTACAAAGTACAAGAAAGGTCACAATACAACACGTTAGTCAAACTGTATACAGAACAAGGGTTTGTTTCCGTTCATTCTCCCTACAAACTACAAATTAAACAATTACTCTAGATATATATACGCGAAACGATTTCACCTATTAGTCTTTGCATAGCTTGTGCAGTGTACTGGAGACGCATAAGAACATTAGTACGAGTGGAAAGGTTGTGAAATCAGTGTAGAACATTTCAGGCATATGTATCACAACTATATCTTGTGTGGACAAATACATGTCACATGCAAGTAGACGTGTATATATCCACCCAATAAACAAGTGCAGTCTGCAAGGTCTAATGGACACATATGGGTGATTTTGCATTTTCACGAATAGATGATCAATTGTCTTCTGGAAAGTCTAACAACATTGGCTAACAAAACGATTTCCTGACATACAACACTGCACTATGTAGATGGGCAATTCTCTAGTCACACTATAACGGTGATTTACATCTGACGGGTCACAAAAGCGTATATAGCAATTCAATATTTCTTGTGTATTTTTTTATGCTAGAAACTATATCTTCATTGCAAGAAAAACAAAATAACGTTCGTATTAAATAGTTACCCTTTATTTCTATCACAAGAAAGAAAAATAAATGTTATACGTACGTCGTGCTTATGTTGAAGTAAGGGGTAGCTCATAGCAAGTATTCCCTTCCAGCCATGTATATATCCCGTTATTCTTAAGGCGTGGTTCGGCAGGCTGATGTTGTGAATTCCAGATGGTATGGGTAGAATACCTTTGAAAAAGTCCGGTATATTGTCGACGGCCGTTAAATTGAAATGTTTGCCATCGATTTTCACAATATTTACATCAGTAACAAACACGAGCGAGAAGTTCAAACTGTCTGGAACATAAAAATATAGCACATCACCAATGAGTTCGTGTACTGGAGGAATCAGAACCATGGACGGTTTACTATTCCGTTTCCCAAAAAATAAGGTGACCAGGATTGGCTTGTCGGCTGTGAGTACACATGTTGTTGTTAGTGAGACATAAGTTTTATGACATCTGGTTTCTGTTAACAAGACGGACTCAAAAGTGTTATCTGAACAGGTGAAATTAACGGTGGTAGCAGGATCTGCTGCTACGATTGTGCACGTGTATGAACCCCAAACTGGAGGAATGTTCACAAAGTACATACCCCAACTATTCACAGAAGGTATTTGTTCCACCAAATGGCCCAATGTGGTGGGGACTGTCAATATTTTTTGTCGTTTATTTCCACTGAATACACTTACTGGATGCGATGCTTGAATGAATGTTCCTGTTAAAAATCCCTTACTACATTGCAGTTGTAACGTTTCGTATTCATCCAGTGTTGTATTTATCACTGTCCCATTGCTGTTAGGTCTTTGGTTGTAATTTACCCTACAGTTTGTTCGAAGTGTGACGTTCACTGAAGTGCCATTGACTGTACCAACTAACAAAATTTGTGACAAATTTGATAAAGTGACTGCATAGAAACAAGTATCAGCATACGTAACAGGAATGCTCAGGAACCCGTCCATCGAACCCTTGTTAGTTTCATTGAAACGGTTTACACCATAAATAATGACTCCGTCACCAGATTCCACCCTGATACCCCGCTGTGTCTTATCAGACCCTCTCACCATGTACTCTTCTGAAAAAGGTACAACTCGTGTTGTTCTGCCTGGAAGTGAAATACTTGAGAGCTGTGTACCTTTTGTTTGATAATTAACACAGGTGGTATTTTCACCTGTATTAACAATGTGTAAGGATAATTTACAGGAAGAGTTGGGCGCGTTCAAAATCTGGTTCTCCATAAATCCTATCATATATACATTACGGGTCGTCTCGTCATGGCACAGGGCATCTGAAACATCAAAACATATCACTTTGTTACTTGAATGCTATAAATATACATGTATTTAAAAAAACAAATACGCAACAAGTTATTAGTTTTCGATCTGCGTGTTCTCTTGTGTTTAAAGATTCCAAAATGCACAGGATTTGGTCGATTTCTTAAGTATCGGCGACTCGAAGAAATCCTTTATTCATACTTTATTATCATTCACTGCTGTTCCGTCTTCAGATTTCTATTTTTATATCCTATGAGTTGCCCAATTCTTGATCTGAATCAGGCTCAAATTTTGATTTTGTATGTGGAGAGATTTGTAAAAAATGAATGTTTCAAATACAAAAATACCAAAGTGTGAACATGTACAAATAATCCCTTAATGAAGTTCGACAAATAAATATATAAATATAAAAGAAAAGAAAATTACAAAAATACAACTCTTAATTTAAAATTACAAATCGTTCAAAATCCTAGATTAAAAAGCAATTAAGGTGTTCAAGTAGTTCCACAATAATCCATAATCAATTTAAAGTTTTGAACCCGATTAAGGAGTATTTCCTATTTTTGGCGGATTAATTGTCTACATCATTGTAACTTTATCTTCCATATCATACATGGTTATATTGTATGGTATCTCAGTGGTGGTTTACGGCGAACTTACGTATCATACATGGTTATATGGTATTATATCCATGGTAGTTTAGGGCGAACTTACGTAGCATAACTGACTGCAGGAGAAGAAACCATGCTAAATCTGGACATCGAATGTGAGCCATGTTCATCATGTGTCCGGAATGAACTGTGTCAAATTTGTCAACGGTCTTCTATGCAGGGAAAATAAATATGTTTATCATAGAGCTTCTGATTGGATAAAACCGATAGCCATTCACAATCATACCGCTCGTCCACTTATTGATTGAAGCGGATTACAGATTCATTTTGTCGGGTCTCTTCATTAAAAGGCAATATTTACATTTGCATGGCATTGTCACTATATAGCCTCTTTGAAAGCTGTGTCGTTGATGGGACTTTAATTACCATGCAGCACGAGACACAATTCTTAGCGTATTAATGCAACACTCACCGGAACTACAATATCCAATGTAATTAAACATGACGGCTGCTGAAATATCGCTGGGCATTGTGAGACTTGACAATGTCATTGAAAATTTATGTGCAAAATAAAAAATGAAATAAAAAATACTTTTATTACAACAAAAACAAGACCAAGGTCTGCAATATCGTGCAAAATGCACATCGGTTAAATTCACAAATGCCGGCAATGGAAACAATGTTACCGCTCATGCAATTGATCAGAAATATCGTCTGTTACACTGCACTGATCAACAGGGGTTCGTTACAAATGTCTGAAATACACATATTCTATAGACCTACTGACACATATGTTACAGACCTACTGATATGAGTCACAGTACATAAACATTTCAGACATTTGTAACGAACCCCTTGTGCTCCGTCGCAAGATCACTCACTTCAAACGCTATCAGTTTCACGCGTCTCGCAGCCACGGTTTCCTCAGTTGCTGACGACATGTCAAATAACGAGGTTGTTATAGAATCTACAGACTGTAGTCAGATTCCCATACAATCAACAAATAAATTCTGGATTCTTCACAAAATGAGCAAAGAAATTAACTTCCAAAAATAACTCCCTCGTGGAGGGCAAGGTCGGATTTACGGTGTTCACTGTATTTATCCATGCGCGAAATTTGTTCCGGGGAAAAATCGAAACAATTTAAAATCTAACTTTCAGCTCAGAGTTCTATTGATAAACTTAAATTACCCTATAGACATATCATACGCAATTGTATTGATACTTAATTGTGGAATAAAATTGAAGTGTTTGTTAAAATGTCAAAATACTACTTTGTTTGCCAATCAGCACGCGACAATACGCTGTTTAAACTATTGAACGAAATTGTGTGGACTGTCGATAAGGCGGGCATTTTTAATTTTAAATATGAATTACAAGTTAGAAAAGAACATAAGAGGCAGTGAAAACGTAAATATAAGTATTGAACTGTTTTTGTATTGTAAATATGATCTATTTGAATGACACAGCTTTGCAAGCAAACAAATCATAATGCGCTAAGTTCAATGCTTAATTATATGCAAGAACGTTAATCGGAGTCACATATTCGCCGATACAGATACACAAATCAGTACAGATTATTTTAGCATTGAGGATGAATTCTTTTATTTTCATCGGGGTATGAATAGATTTTTTTGGAAATTGTATGAATCCTCGTAGCGGATTCTTACAATGTTTGCAAAACAAAATCTTTTCATAACCCGATGAAAATAAAACAAATCATCCTCAATGCTTATTATCAATTTAAACTGAATGTCATGAAAAAATCCCTGAACAAATAAAATCGATAGATTATTTTTAATAGTGGCACTTTATCATATGAGCAATAATATTTCAACCAGCAACATTGTGTTTTTGCGTTCCCATGAAACGTCAATTGTCTCGCGCGATCAGCTGAGCGGAGAGAAGTCGTCGGCCATTTCAGTTAACTGTTACGAGGCGGTAAAACACGATGTATGGCCTATTTTTGTCCGAAATTAAAGACGAAACGCGCAAACGACGAGTAGAAGGCTGACAGAAAGAAAGTTATTTGAAGAAGATAGCTGAGTTGATTGTGTCATGGGCAGCATTACATTCGTTGCATTTAAAGCAAGTGGACATGAACACCTGTTTTGAATGTCGGTGACTGTGTGTGATGGCGCAGTTTGTGTATGTGTCCGGGAATCATTTGAAGACTGGTGTTCGGTTGAAGTTAACTATGGATACCAGTGTTTCACATTAAGTGTGCGTTTGGCTGGTAGAACATCATTGACTGTAACTTCTTTCAGAACTTTCGTTAATGTTCCCGGACATAAGCATAACTATGCCGCAGGTCGAAGCCGGTTGCTCGAAGCACAGGTGTTCGTTACAAATGTCTGAAATACACATATGCTATATATTGATATTGGTCACAGCACATGTGTATTTCAGACATTTGTAACGAACCCCTGTGCTCTAAGGCAGTGTGCTGTGTATATCGCCAATTTCCTCTGTGGCGGGGGACGACATGGCCTCCTTCCTGCAGTGATTGAAAAGGGATACCTGAGTGTTTTAACGGGGCATCGTTTTCCTTGTACGGAATACATCGGTTTCCCAGCGGATGGTGCCTCAACATTATTATTGAGTCCACTTTGCTGGTGTTTTTGAGTTATTACCTCGTATTCTCAATTTTCATCTCTCACAAAATTGAACGAGTTGTAGTGAAACTCGAGATCTCCGCTCACAAAATACATCACCATATTCAGCGAAATACGATAACGGAGGAGGACAGGATTCTCTCCAGTAAGGCAGGTGTTAAAATATTATAGGTCAATTCTAGGTGTCAGAGGCGTTTCTATGATATTTGAAAGAGGGGGCGTAGAATGAAATCTTTCGCCGAGCGGAGCGATGCGAAAAAATTTTTGGACATTTTTTTTGCTAAAAAACATAAAATAATTGTGAAATGCACTAATGTAACGGTTCCTGACTTGGATCATGTATATTTTATAGTTTAAGTGTCAGGGTGTTTATGCGTTTAATTAATGAATATGATAAATTGCCATATCCAATACAATATTAGCAGGGTTTTTTTTAAAAGGGGGGGGGGGGGGCGTACGCCCATTACGCCCTCACCTGGACCCGCTCCTGGGCGTGTTTGTCCTGGGTTGGCCTTGTGGTACCATTTCGTACATTTGCCTTTAATCATCATCCAACATACTACTGTTGGTACTGTGAAATATTTTATTTCCCAGTTTTTACAGACACTTTCATTGATTAGGAATATGATATCCTGGTAGCTTAATGAAAAGCATTCCAATTTCATTTGGGAAGATCTGGGTTCGAGTCCTGGTCAGGGTAGATCATGCATTTTAATCATATTGAACGTGCACTCTACTCGTCAAATTTTATTATTGTATTTATTTCTTGCCTCATCACCAAACAAACCAATGATTATATGGGGTCTTCAGTCCTAAGCAGGACGCAGTCCACGTCATACATGCACACTCGAAACTGATTGGCTGCCGGTATCTCTCGCCATTTTTACCGGCTGTATTTGTTTTCCGGACTTCCTTCTTTTAAATTCTTTAAGAAGCATTTTGTATGACCAGCATATTTCGATACTGCCAGATAAGTTATATCGTTTGAATGGACTGAGAAGTCTTGGTTCTTAAAAGGTGGACACGAATTCGTGTCTCAATAATAATATAATGTTGCGTGCAGATTTTGAAGAATTCTGATTAACTCTATATGCAATCCGTTAAATATAATGAGATATTCGATCAGATTGTCCAAATAAACCACTCTCGATATATAGCCTGAAATCGTGTAGTAACCCAAAGAAATGTACAACAAAAACTTCATCAGTATAATCTTACTCGAAAGAAAGGACCAGATTTACTATGAATTAACAGGAAGTAGGTCGTTTTTTGTTCGAGCTCAGTATATACACTTTCAAATCCTGACAAAGCTAATTTAATTTCCTGTCCCACAAATAACTAATTTAACATTTATGTTTGCAATAAATGCCATACACTCTGTCTGAAGTTGGTTATGCTATTATATTCCATAACATGGTAAGATGATTGGTAAAATTATATAAAAAATAAAGATCAATGTTTCCAGTGCTGAAGTCCACCTACACAATAGCCGATCTATAACATCGCAGTAGAACGTTTTGTTGTAAATGTTGTTTATAGTTACTTAATAATAAATAATTAGACGATGACGAGGTTCCATCTTTTTCCAATTAAGCCATCTTTCACTAACTTATCTATTTTAATGGAATATTTTAAACAACATGTATTGATCAAACTCATATTGTTTTACAAAATAAAGCAATATAGATTTACCTTTAGTCGAAAGTCGCACCACATTAATCACTTTGAGATTATACGAGAGTTAAAAATAGATTGATCAATGCTTGGAATGTTTGCATGTGCTTTTTTATATATTGACTTATAGAGAATATTTCTGAATAACAAATAAAGAAATAACATATCATTTTTTATGTAAAATTGTGGGACTTGAATTAACAAAAACGATTAAGATGTATATGTAACATACACGCATTTCAAATCTCTGATATCTCACAAACATCATATATGTCCTACTTACTTTATATTGTCGTAGGTCAGGTCGTAATCAGAGTGTAGCGGACATAACGTTTAAGTCTCTATCAGTAGGTATGAGACAAAGATATCAAGTCACAATAGATATGATATCCAGCACAACTATCTAGTCGAAATGACCATGGGTAGGTGACAAACACCAAGACAAAGTGTGTACTGCGGTAAAAAAAATCAAGGCGCTATAAAACTGTAAAACGGTACCATATCAAGTCGCTAAAAAACTGTATTGCGATACAAAACCAATTCTCTATAAGTCTGTATTGCGGTAAAAAAAAAAAAAAAAAAAAAAAGGCGCTATAAGTCTATATTTCGGTTAAAAAAATCAAGTCGCTATAAGTCTGTATTACGATTCATAACCAGGTCGCTATCAGTCTGTATTGTGGTACATAACCAGGTCGCTATAAGTCTGTATTACGGAGAGAGAAAAAATCAAGACGCTATAATTCTGCATTACGGTAAAAAAAACAATCAAGGCGCTACATGGATAAGTCTATATTACGCTACATAACCAGATCGCTATAAGTCTGTATAACAGTAATAACGAGGGCGCTATAAGTCTGTATTACGGTAAAACAAAAAGCGCTATAAGCTTGCATTACG